GAGGTGGGCAGGCTACTTGAGGTCAGGAGTTTGAGGCCAGCCTGGCCAACATGGTGAAACCCAGTCTCTATTTAAAATACAAAAATTAGCCCAGCGTGGCGGCACATGCCTATAATCCCAGCTACTCAGGAGGCTGAGGCAGGAGAATCGCCTAAACACAGGAGGCAGAGGTTTCATTGAGCTGAGATTGCACCACTGCACTCCAGCCTCGGTGACATAGTGAGATTCCATCTCAAAAAATAAAATAAAATAATAAGACAATAAATGTACCCAAAAATGAAATAGACAAGGCAACAAAACACATAAGAAAGACATCTATGAAAGACATAAAAATTATCTAATTTTAAAAACAAGTAAAATATATTATGAAAATGAAAAAAATTATTAAAGAACAATATAAATTAAAACTTTAAAACCTTACAAATGAGGTGATTGGCAAATAGGAAGATTTGAAATGACTAGAACTCAGGATATAATTGGAAAAAAAGATATTTTTTTCAAATGAAGATTATACTAGAAGAAAACAAGAAAGAACAGGTACAATGATGCCTGAAGATAAATAGAGGGTGGACAGGAAAATGTTGTTAAATATTTTAAAGAGATACAAAAGATTCAAAGAAAAGTAATTGATAGGCGAAGAAGATCTAACATATGTAATAAGAGGCTTTCATGAAGGACATGAAAAAATGGAAGACAGCAAACACTGAAACCTGTAATTCAAGAAAATGTTCCTGCAGTGAAAGATTTTGTAACTACGTAGTGAAAGAGCATGCCACATACCTAGGAAAAGTAACCTATATGGCCAATATCAAGTAAAATTATTCAAGTATATCAAGTATATATATAAAATTATATCAAGTATAAAGTAAAAACAATATTCTAGTAAAATTATTGGACTTTATGAACAAATTATTTTAGGCATCTTCACTAAAAGTTCAAATTGCTGGCCAGGTAGGGTGGCTCACGCCTGTAATCCCAGCACTTTGCGATGCCAAGGTGGGCAGATTACGAGGTCAGGAGTTCAAGACCAGCCTGGCCAACATAGTGAAACCCCGTCTTTACTAAAAACACAAAAAATTAGCTGGGTATGGTGGTGGGCACCTGTAATCCCAGCTAGTCTGAAGGCTGAGGCAGGAGAATTGCTTGAACCCAGGAGGCAGAGGTTGCAATGAGCAGAGGTCACACTACTGCACTTCAGCCTGGGCAACAGTGAGAGACTCCGTCTCAAAAAAAAAAAAAAAAAAAAAAGTTCAAATTGCTTAACTTGTCCACAGAGCTAGAAAGTAGAACCGTGGTTACTGGGGACTGGGAGAGGGAAATGGGGAGGGACCGTTTAATGCGTATAGAGTTTTTTCTTACAGCATGATGAAAATGTTCTTGAACACGATGATGGTCCTGCATCACTGTGACTGTATTAAATACCACTGAATTGTACACTTTACATGGTTAAAATGATGAATTTTGTGTTATGTATATTTTTCCATAAAAAGGCAAGACTCAACTATCGCCTGTCTACCAGAATTGAACTCTAAATATAAAGACACAAATAAGTTAGACCCAAAAGAATGAAAGAAGATATACCATGCTAACGCTGATCAAGAGAATATTAGAATGCTATATCAGTATCAGAAAAAAATGGATTTCAAAGCAAATCATATTACTAGGGATAAAGAAGGCCATTATTAAAATGATAAAGGGCCCAATACATCAAGATTACATTATAATTCTAAACATGCACCTACTAACAAACCTTGAAAAAAACATAAAAGAAAAACTGGTAGAGTTTAAAGACAGACAAATTCACAATTATAGTTGGATATTTCAATATCCGTCTCTCAATAATTAATAGAACAAGTAGACAGGAAATCAATAACTATAGTGACTTGAACAACACTATCGGCTACACTAGTTGAACATTCCATCCAACAACAATAACAGGGAAATAGGATTTTTTTCAAGTGCACAAGAATCATCTACCAAAACAGACAATATTTCGATACATAAAAGAAATATCAATAAATTTAAAGTTTTCAAATCACACAAGGTATGTTTTCTAATCATAATAATATTAAATTAGGAATCTGTTATATAAATTTTTCTGGAAAATACTCAAACATTTGGAAACCAAACAACACACTTCTAAACAATTCACAGAAAAGGGAGAAGCTACAATTTAAATTAGGAAGTATTTGTAACTGAATGAAAGCATAGAATATTAAAATTTGTGGGATGTGGCTAAAGTAAATAAGTATATTCCCCTCACCTTGCCCGCAGGAAGACTAAGTGATTTTATCACACGTGCTAGTGAAGTTCAGCTACAATTTGTCTTTCGTGTTTCCTTGTTTGCCAAATGCTCAAAGCCTCACCTGAGAAAGACAAGCTGGTAGAGGAAATCAAGAAGGAATGTCAGAGAACACCTTCTTAGCTATTTCTGTTTTCTCTTCATCTAGGTTATAAACCTGGACATCAGAGCAGAAAAATCACCAGAACAAAGACAAGACCATAAATAAGGAGTGAACAAGTAGAACAAATAAGTGGATGAATGAGGGAATGAATGAATAGTGAGTCTGGGCTGGGCTTTAATCCCAACACTTTGGGAGACCGAGGAGGGAGAATTGCTTCAGGCCAGGAGTTCGAGACCAGCCTGGGCAACACAGCAAAACTGTCTCTGCATCAATCTTAAAAAAGAAAAGAAAAGAAATTAGTCTGAATGCTGCAAAATTGCCCCTAGGCCAAGTACATGGTGATGTTGGCTATATCTTGGCATAGTGACAATTCTGTTGCCATAGACATCCCAGGAAATTTTCTCCTCCTCTGCTCTTCAGGAAGTTTGACCACTGTACAACACATGGGGACATTCCCAATGTCAAAAATTATAACCAACCATAAAACTTTTTTTAATCCAAGCAATAACTATCTCTGTTGTATAAACATGCCAAGAAGGAAAATGCCTTTGCCCAGGGACCGTGGCTGTAAAACCCAGGGCCACGCCCAGCTCTACCCAGTTCTATTGCCTGCCCTGGCTCCCATGAAGTCCTTTAGCTTCCTCTGCAGTAAGGCTTGCAAGAGTGACTCAGATTCCCAGCCCTTGCCTCAAACCATCAGTGCTGAAAGATTGAAGTCCTCGCCCTTGAACCCAACTGTGCCAAACTGAAAGAAATTATTTACCTACACACTCCTGGGGAAATCCAAAAACAGCAAGCTTCCTCACCTGCCATGTGCCACGTGCAATGCTTTCTTTTTGTCCCAAATCAGTGGGTGGAAGTCCAAACATAAGGAACAGCCATCTTCTGAATTAAGTAACTCAGGCTCCCAGGGGCTGTCCACCATGGCAGCTCCATCTGATCCCTCACTGTCTCGGGTCACGCCTGACACCCTACAAGGCCCTCCTACCTGTCTGTGAGTGCCCCAAGGTGCACATAGCACAATCCTGGACTCCGGCAGGCATCTGCCCCAAAACTGTGCTTCATTTCCTAAAGGTTTATTTCATATTGTCTTTACTTTTGTGGGTGTTTACACATGTCCATTTAAAAGTGTGATTTTGGCCGGGAGCGGCAGCTCACATCTGTAATTCCAGCACTTTGGGAGGCCAAGGCGGGAGAATCACGAGGTCAGGAGATCGAGACCGTCCTGGCCAACATAATAAAACCCCATCTCTACTAAAAATACAAAAATTAGCTGGGCGTGGTGCCACATACCTGTAATCCCCGCTACTCGGGAGGCTGAGGCAGTAGAATCGCTTGAACGCGGGAGGCAGAGGTTGCAGTGAGCCAAGATTGTGCCACCGTACTCCAGCCTGGTGACAGAGCAAGACCCTGTCTCAGAAAAAAAAAAAAAAGTGTGGTTTTTAAAAATTGAAGTTTAAGCACCGCCTCTTCCAGGAAGGCTTCCTTGACTTTTCTGGCCAATTCAGGTATTCCCTCCTCGGGGTTTCCTGAACACGGAGTTTGTCTCTAGCAAGGTAACACAAAGCAGCAGTTAGAGCCGTCGATTTGGAGGTCAGACACACCTGGGTTTAAACCTTGGCTCCACTATTTACTTGCTGCTTGAACTGGGCAGGTCCCTAAGCCTCAAGTTCTACTTTTATAAAATCAGGTTAATAATAACACCTACCTCCTAAGAGTTTTGTGACAATTCAATGAGAGAAGACATTTGGAGCACTTGTATAATACCCAGCATAAGGGGCAGGCTGAACAACAGAGTATATGCATTCCTAAATAATTATTTAAACACAGATGACCCTGTAATGAGAGTAAATACCTACCTGTCTCCCCATCGTACCACGGGCTCAATTTTATCCCTAACTCCTGGCAGAGGCTGGGAACATACAAGGGAATGGAACTTTTACAGAATCTTCCTTTTCCAGCAAGCCACCCCGTCAGCAGACATCCTTTTTGGAAAGCCCAGGCAGCATGAAACCTACTGAGCCTGCAGAATTAGAATCGAATTAGTAAATACGTATTAAGTAACGTACTAGGTGCTGTGAGGGTACAAAGATGAAAATACAAAGTCTTATTCCCCAAGGAGCTCATGTTTTGTTTTAGGAGAAGCAATATAAACCTTTGGAAACTTCCATCAACAACTAAGATTTAAATAGCAAAGACGGTAAACTGGAAATCTAACAAGGAGAAAAAAGGAATTAATTACCAGGCACTCTGCCTTTGCCCACTGCCCCCTGCCCCCACCCCAGCCCCCATTCCCAGACCAGTCCCAGCATGAGAGCTGGTTTATGAGCAGCCTAATTCTATTCTCTCCTTCCCCTATCCCCCACCACCATCACGATACCCAAGTCCACTTTCTTAAGATCCTAGGAAGTAGGTGCCCATTTTATAGATGAGAAAACCAAGGCTTATGGAGAGCAGATAACTGCTCAGAGCCCCAGTTTAGTAAATGATAGGACCTGGATCCTATTCTAGGTGTGTTTGGCAGCCAAGTCCAATGGGGTAACCCCCATTGCTGCCCCCAGGGGGTGGAGTCCAGTGGGAAGATTATTTGCTCACCTGAAACAGCTGGCGTCACACGAAGGCAAACGTGCATGTTCGGCTCAAGCAATAGAAACCCCACGCTGGTGACTGGGGAGCTCAGAATTGACAGGAGGTGGGAAAACAGGCTCAGGAAGTGGGCAGCCACCAAGGGAGGCCCAGGGGCAAAAGCTTGGCCAAGGTCACGCTTGGAGGCCTACAGGGAAGGACCACCAGAAGCTCATACTCCCACTGTGGCGAGACACCAGGGCCACTGCGCCCACCTGTGGACACGGCCACAGGGAATGGCATCCCACTCTCCCTCCACTTGATGTCACCCACCTGAGTCTGAGCCCTGGATGGAAGTGTCCTTTTAGCCACGTCTGGGTCCGTTTACCCAGGAACTAGGTGAGAAAACGCCTGCCCCATCAGCTTCCACAGTGGGCGGTTTATTCTCCTGCCAGTACTCACATAATAGGGCCTTACTCTCAAATAAGAAGGGGGTAGCTGGGCGTGGCGGCTCACGCCTGTAATCCCAGCACTTTGGGAGGCCGAGGTGGGTGGATCATGAGGTCAAGAGATCAAGGCCATCCTGGCCAACATGGTGAAACCCCGTCTCTACTAAAAAATACAAAAATTAGCTGGGCGTGGTGGCACATGTCTGTAGTCCCAGCTACTCGGGAGGCTGAGGCAGGAGAATCGCTTGAACCCAGGAGGCAGAGACTGCAGTGAGCTGAGATCGCGCCACTGCACTCCAGCCTGGTACCTGGCGACACAGTGAGACTCTGTCTCAAAAAAAAAAAAAAAGAAGGGGTAAACGTGCTAGGCAGTGCCCTCTCCATCCCACAGTAAATGTCCCCTGCCATGATTAAGAACTAAAAAGAATGGAATAGGTGACATGGGATCTAGAAGCTTGGAGGAGGGGCCACAACGAGGGCTGGAAGGATTCAAGAGGGGTCCAAAGAAGAGGTGGGTGCTGACTTTGGCCTTTAAGCACAGCGAGGATGAGGTCCCGGCGCTGTCCGTGATGCTTGGCCTGACCTGATCAGGGGTCCTTTGAGGTCGTTCAGGGCCTGGGCCATGGCAGCCACATTACAGTCGTCACGGCCACGGCACTGTGCTAAGAGCCAGGCCAGCAGCTGCAGCCTTCCCACCAGTCTTGCAGGCTAGCCTCTCTGACCCCATAGCTGAGAGAGGTGTCAGGCCTTGACGGAAAAGGCCAGCATGTGAGCCCAGGCCTGTCCAACTGGGAAGCCCACGCTCCTTGCCCTAAGCTGGTTGCCTCCCATTACAATGAGAGAAGGAGCCGTAACACTGTGCATTTTACTCCTGTTGGCTGCTTTTCCCAGGACTCTTTGTGTCCTTCAGGCCAACCCTATGAGATAGCGAGAGCTGCAGATGCTCACCCCCCTTGAGTAGTCGAGGAACCCAAGGCCAAGGTCATCCAGCTTTCAGGGACTGGAGTCCGCACAGGCCTGGTGCCAGCCCTTCACCCGGATCCAGCCAGGTGTCTGTCTTCAACTCATGACTCTGCAGTGGGAGGTTGAGGGGTGGGGCCATTTGGGGAACAGATCCCATTAAGCTGTGTCCATCTATACGATGTAAACCCACACCTAGCCATCCCCTGGAACACAGTGGCCAAAAGTGCAGAGGGAACATTTGTCTAGGAGAACAATGGGTATTGATGACTCTGGCAGCTACAGCTGGCAAGCACAGCAGGCGGTTTGGTCTGGGGTTTGGGGTGGTGTTTCTTTGGAGGCTGTAACCTGGTTACTCATCATTCTTGTTCTCCCTGGGCCCCTGGGCTGTCTAAGGACTCAGTGGAAATGGCTGAACAGCCCAGGATATACGCTGCTTCATTGTCCCCTGCTCCTCCTGGAAGTGACCAGCACTATGGCCTGGCTTGGGCTGGGCTATCCTGGGATGGGGATCTGGACACTCTGGGGTTGGACCGGCAGCCCTGGGGTAGCCTTCTTTATACTGGGCACACATGCTCCTGCTAGACAGGACGGTACCCATGCTCCATTTCCTGGCAGCCTGCATATCACCCCAAATACTCTCTCTCTCCAACACACACACACATAGACGGACAGGCCGCTGCCTGCCTGTCACCACCACAGTCACTTCAGTGGCCGGGAGACAAGTGACCTCAAGCAGGTCTTGGTTCAGACACCAACGCATGGTGTGTCAGAGCTGCTCAGGCTTCAGCGTCCCCAGCTGCAAGATGCGCTCCGCAGCAAGCCCTCTGCACCTCACTGGCATCCTGCTCCAGCTGCCTCTGTCTGCAGACAGCTCTGTGCGCACGCCCGTGGAGCATGTCCCGCCTGGGCATCGCACATCACCACCAGAGACGCAGGACGCATGGGCGCGGGGACCAAGTCTCCTCATCTCCCCCAGGATGAGTTTGTGCAGCTTCTGGGAACTGAGGCCCAGGGATCTCCACCAGTGCCATCTGCCATCAGCTTCACTCCCCTGTCCATCACTCCACTCCCCTTAAGTCACACGCACTTAAGTTTCCATATGAAGCCAAAAGCCTCAGGCTCTGAATTTCAGTTGGTCCTAGGTGAGGACAGCGGATTTGAGAACTTCTCAGGCCTCTATTCTGTAACATACGAAGTTATGAAGGGCATTTTTTTTTTGAGACAGAGTCTCTTTCTGCCACCCAGGCTGGTACCAGTGGCATGGTCTTGGCTCACTGCAACCTCCGCTTCCCGGTTCAAGTGATTCTCCTGCCTCAGCCTCCCAAGTATCTGGGATTACAGATGTGCACCACCACAACCAGCTAATTTTTGTATTTTTAGTAGAGAAGGGTTTTTACCATGTTGACCAGGCTGGTCTCAATCTCCTGGCCTCAAGTGATCTGTCCGCTTCAGTGTCACAAAGTGTTGGGACTACGGGGGTGTGTCACCATGCCCAGCAATATGAAGGACACTCTTAAAAAAAAAAAAAATTGAAGTCCTGGACCATATTGGTCTTACACCCAGCTGGCATCTCTGCCTACTTTACTCATTGTTAGCTAACCCTTAATTCCCTCCTCCGTATAATGAGGCTGACTCCTTGAGGAACTGCTCCAAGGACTGAATGGAGTAAGTACATGATGTGCTCTCCACAAGGCTGGGTACCCAACAGGAGCTCAAAAACAACCAGCACAGAGGCCTGAATGGGGTGTGGAGAAGCAGTGGCTGGAATCAGAGGACCTGGCAGTTTGCAGCTGTCCCTCAGGAGGCGCTGGCGTCCCAGCTGGCCATGGCACTGGAGGGAGCCATACACCCAGGATCTGCCCGCCATGAGCCCTGAGATCCAGCCTTCGCAGGCTGGGTGATGCACACCCTGGGTCCTGAGCCCAGAACTGGGGCCAAGATTCCAGCAGGTGCTCAAGATCAACAAGCTTCGGGTTTCCTGGTTGAGGTCCTGCACGTACAACATGTTCCCTCTTTCCAGAAGGGGTGCAGGCGCAGCCCAGAGCACTGCCTCGAGCTTCTCCGACACCCTGACCGCCCCGACCCTGAGCCCCCTGCCCTCAGTTTCCCCCTGAGCTGCCTCATCCCATCACCTGACCATCGCATGTGGCTCAGAGGCACTCCTTAATGCTGCAGGTTTCACCTGAGCCTGAAGATCTGTGGCGTCTCTGCTCCGCACCCAGGGCTAGCATCTCATCCTGGGTGGTACACGCCCCAGGGCCTTTGCTCCTACAGAACCACTGACAGCGTCTTCATCCATCTCCAGCTGCTCTGGAGGCCAGGCAGGGTGGGGATCCATAGGAGGGAGAGAGGCTGGCTGTGGCCTGCTCCCCTGCGACGCACTGGCCCTGCCCCCGGCCCTCTGGCTGAAGCTGCAGGTTGCCCGACACAACCCTCTAGAGAGAGCCGTTGACCCATGTAGGTCCCTGAGTCAGCTACAAATTCTGCTCAGCCCACACATGCAGTTCCCCAGGATGCCCTCTCCGACCTCTCTCCTTGGCAGCCCAGGACTTCGAAGGCCACACATCTCTGGGGGACTTTGGAGTCAGAGCTGTGTGGATCACATCCTCAGGGCATGCTTCTCCTGCTTCCTGGCCTCCCACTGCAATACCAAGACCCAAGTTCGCCCACCCCTACAAGCCTCCAGGATGATGGGTGTGGAACATGACTTGCATTGGGCCGATCCTTTGCTCAGATTCCCTCCGTGGCTCCCCAGGCTTTCAGGATGACATCCTCCAGCCTCCTGTCTGCCTAGCCGCCCAGGCTTACCAGCCACCTTGCCATTCCCATGCCCGCTCTATCTGTTCCCCAAAGGCCACAGGCCTTGGCACATTCTGTTTTTGCTCACTGGAATGCTCTTCTCTTCTTTGATGAATGATCACCTTCTCGTCTTTCAAGACTCAGCTTCAACCTTAGAAACGCTTGCATGGTGAAGATGCCTCCAGGTGAGGCTGGGTGTCTTCCTCTGGGTCCTACAGAACTTGAATGCCTTTCTGTTCTATTATACCCACCATCTGCTTGCTGTTCTGATTCCATCTAGTGATTGAGTTTTTTGAAGACAGTCTCGTGTCTCCTTTATCCCCTGTGGGCTGGGCAAAATCTCAGAACATAGATTTCAAAAAAAATGTTTGAGATGGATGGATGGATGGGTGGATGGGTGGATGGATGGATGGATGGATGAGTGAATGGATAGATGAAGGACAGCTCCCATAAAAAGCAGACAGGTCCTAAATTCCCTTACATCCTTCTTAAAATCTTTGAACATAATTAAATTGAATTGAAAAGTCTAGATCAGAGGAAGAGTTTTGTCCTTGGGACGCTGACTTTATTCATGCAGTCAGCACTTATTTCGAGCCTCCTAGGAGTCCAAAGGAGAAAGAAAGCCTAGTAAAGTGAAGGCCGGGGCCCTGCCCACAGGAAGTTGGTGCAATCATCCAACAGACTAGACGCATCTGGGGGTAACTCATAAGAGCCCACTAGCCCTCCGCAGAGCAGTGCAGCAGGTGCTGGGAGGAGGGGTCAGGCAGGTCAGAGAGTTGAGAAGGTTGCCCCAGAGCTGCCCTGTGTGAGCACTCAAGGCCTTTCAAACTCTGACTCCTTCTGAGCCCCAGCTTCCTCATCCCATGAGATATACAAGCACATGACCCGAAGCTGGGGCTGACCCTCTAGCCCTCTCATATGGACCTGATTCTAAACCTGAACCAGGCCGGGCCCGGTGGCTCACACATGTAATCCCAGCACTTTGGGATGCCAAGGTGGGCAGATTGCCTGAGCTCAGGGGTTTGAGACTAGCCTGGGCAACATGGCGAAACCTCATCTCTACTGAAAATACAAAAAAATTAGGCAGGCGTGGTGATGCGCACCTGTAGTCCCAGCTACTCAGGAGGTTGAGGCAGGAGAATCACTTGAACCCGGGAGGTAGAGGTTGCAGTGAGCTGAGATCATGTCACTGCACTCCAGCCTGGGTGACAGGGTGGGACTCTGTCTCAAAGAAGTAAAAATAAAAAGAAATAAAAATAAACCTGAACCTATCCCAGAGGCTGGATCTGATCCTGACCCTAACCTTGACCTAAACCCTAGCTGAGGTCAGATCTGAACCCAGATTTTCATCTTTCCCCAAGAGAGGGCTCCAGAAACAGCTGGATGGCAAGGAGCCAAACTGAACTCAGAAACTCTCTGACAGAAGGTTCTGGCAAACACACAGCAGACTCAGAGTGGCTCCATTGTAGAAACTCACCTCTGGCCCCTGCCCATAGCCCAAGGCCCTGTGCCCAAGACTCAGATGTCCCGGAGACACGGGCCCCTTCAGTGCCTCTGGAAATGGGCTGAGGGTTCCCCAGGCCCTGAGGCCACTGGAGTTATCTGGGGAACAACTGGACTTCTGTTCTCTGGTTGGCCCCCCTTACGCCTCACTGCCCACCCTCCACCAGTCATTGACCGTCAAGCTGCACTTGAGAACCTCCTGCATGGGCCAGGCCCTGCCCCGGGCACTCTGCTACAAGGAGTGCAGATATGCAGCTCTTACCCTCAAGACCCCAGCTCCACGAGGGGAGGCAAGGGTGCTCCTCATTCAATCAGCATCTATTGGCCCACAGGTTTGGGAACCTGATTTAGGGGACATTCCAGGCAGAACATCATTAGAAAACTAATAACCAGGGCCAGGCGTGGTGGTTCACACCTGTAATTCCAGCACTTTGGAAGGCCGGGGCGGGTGGATCACCTGTGACTGGGAGTTCGAGACCAGCCTGGCCAGCATGGTGAAACCCCTTCTCTACTAAAAATACAAAAACTTAGCCAAGCCTGATGGCACATGTCTGTAATCCCAGCTACTTGGGAGGCTGAGGCAGGAGAATCGCTTGAACCCGGGAGGCGGAGGTTGCAGTGAGTTGAGATTGCACTCCAGCCTGTGTGACAAGAGTGAGATACTGTCACACACACAAAAAAAAGAAACAAACAAACAAACAAACAGAAAGAAAGAAAGATAAAGAAAGCTAGTAACTATTTGTATAGATTGCTTAGTGAGCAGGGACATGGAGCAAAGAGAGCCAGATCTGAAAACTCCCATGTTATCAATAGTGGGATTGCACCTGTGAATAGAATAGCCACTGCACCTCAGCCTGGGTGACACTGTGAGCCCATCTCTAAAAAAACAAAATGAAAAATAAATAAATAAATGATAAAAAGAAGAGGGCTGGATAAACTGAGCCGTGTTTCCAGTGGGTCCAGATTTCTGACCGTGCACTGGCTGCAAAGTCTCCCCTCATGGGCATTGTGGGCATGGGCACTGCCAGTGTTTGCCTCTGTGACTCTCCCTTTTTGCCTGGCAGTAGCAGAGACGTTCCTTCAGTCAATGTCACAGCAAGGTAGAAGACATTTGACTTCACATACTATGAAATCCTCTTCCCTGATGCTTTTTGACGCATGGTGACAAGATGGCTGCTGCCCCCCCGGGACTCACAGCCACATTCCAAGCAGAAAATAGGAGGTAAAAAGGCCAAAAAAAAATTTTTTTTTAATCAAAACTTTGTTCTTCCCGGGGGCTTTTGCCTAACTCCTGGT